TGAGTACCAAATTGTAGTGCTAGCATATACATGGGGAAATAGACCAATGAATTACATCAGAGTTCAGCAGTAACCTTGCCCATGTAGGAAACTAAATCTGTAAACTCAAGTATGAACAACTCAGTAAAGTTTCTGTAATATTTTAGGCAATTAAATGAGAAAATAACACTCTTGTCTAAATATATCTGTGAAAATAATAAGCTTCTAAACTTTACTATACAGAAAAATATTAATGAAAATCAAGTAACATCAACAATTGTGGTGGTTAGTTTTTGCCATCTGGAAAGGAGAGGGGGATCACAATAAAGAACTGCTTTGATTAGGCTGGCTCTTACTAGTTAGGGCTTGCATTAGTTGGGTTAGTTGATGTAGAAAGACCATTCTGTATGTTGGAAGTATCATTTCAGAGCTTGGGCTCTGGGCTGAGTGAAAAGAAGGAAGCTAGATGAACAGTGCTAATTAATTCATTGTTTTCTGCTCTTGATAAAACTGCTTCAACATTCTGCCACATTATATTCTCAGAAATATGGTTTGTGTATACATTGAGACTTGGTTGGAGAAAACAATTTTTTTCCTTTGCCAGTGGTTATCGATTGGAGATAACTTCTAGATTAGGGATGGAAGCTTGTGTCCACTTCCCCACTCAATGTTGGAACTCCACTGGGCTTAGATCCATGCAGGTCATGTGCATACTTCCACAGTTCTATGAGTTCATATCTATGTAGTTTTGTGTCCAAACTGTCTTGTTTCCTTGTTGTCTCCCATCTTGGAGGAGGGGAAATAATGTTTAGCACATCTTCTATGAAAAATATCTATCTTCAAGAAATGATGAGCTAATCTGGAATTATGAGCCAAATGAATACTTCTCCCCTTTCGTTGTGTTTGTCATGAAAGTTTGTTCTTCTCTATTATTTAAATTTTAGGATTTAAAACCCTATAAGCATAAATGTATTTTATGTGTGTGTGTATTTATTTGCTTGTTTATTTTAGAGAAGTTTGCATATGAGTAATGTTTTAAAATTATTTTGCCTCCCCTATCATCCCTCCTGCTTCTCCAATTCCCTTCCCTCTCGAATTGGTGATCTTTTCTTTAATAGTATACATAAACATACACATACATGCAGGATAAAAACATACATAAAACTGGATAAACAAACCTCCAAAAGAATTTATTTCAAAGGTACAGATCAGTGCTTTATTTTTTATTTTAGAAGCACTCTTATTTACATATCAATCTCCAAATCCCTTGCCCTCCCATTCTCCCATGCTCCCCACTAAACCCATAACCCAACCCCACTCACTCCCCAGGAATAAAGACGCCCTCCACGGGGGACCATCAAAGTCCATCACTCATTTGGGGAAGGGCCCAGGCTCCCCTTCCAATATCTGAGCTGGTGCAGATCATTTTTAAAAATCTAGTCCATTGGTTATTTTTGCTATTCTTGGATTTTTATGGTTGATTGTTGATGTTGTTGTTATAGCTGCTGTTATAATGCTCAGGACTGAACCAGGGACTTTTGAATGCTATGCAAGGATTTTCACTGACCTAAACTCCCAGCCCCTACTTTTTAATTTCTGTAGAAATAATATTAAAACTGAAAAACTAGAGATTTGAAATTTGTGTTTATCATTACTCCTGTTTTCTTGGAAGAAAAGGCTTTTGGCGTGGTATAAGAATTACAATGTGGGAGGATAGGATTATCTAATACATTAATGAAATCCTACTCTGACCAAACCAGACACTGCTTAGTGGAGTCCCAGGGTGTGCAGCCAGTCATACTCATACAGGCCAGAACATCTAGGATTTCCAGTGCCGCATATGTTTAGTGTGTCACCTTGGACATCTGCTCATATTGAACATCTGCTTTTTGTTTTCACTAGACTGCCAAGAAGAGAATGGGGTCATTAGTTATTGTACAATGAGAAGTTATGCAGAACACAATCCATGTATATGAAATAATGTCAGGAAAGCCATATCCACTGTAATTAATTTAAAGTTTCCTTCATGCTGAGAGTCATTACAGGCATCATTTCAGAAGAGACTGCCAAGCCACCACATCCTCAAATAAAAACTCAGTACTTAAATGTTTTCACATAGCATTTTTTACCCCCAAATCTGTGACTTTGTTATTTTCTGAACAGCAAAGTAAAACATGAAGTGAATAAAATAAGGTTCTTATGTGTCTATTAGTTAATGTTTAAATTATATTTATATGTATTATGTTCATTCATACTTATTAAAAAGAGTCATATCTGTGATGTATCTTCTATTAATATATTCAGTTTTTTATTAATAACCACAAGGAATTATCGAGTTTTATTTGACTACTGAATGCATACTGTGCCCAACACGATGCTTCAGAGGAAAAATAAGCTGCTGTGCAGCTTATACACTTTATATTCTTCTTATAGTTGACAACATATGAAACAAAATTCTCTATCATTTGAATTATGTTAATTGCCCATGACCCAAAGGAGTGTCACAGGCTATGGTATGAATAGTTGAATGAAGTAGAATAAGCTTTTCCTGTCTAAGAAATCTGTTTTAATGTGCATGTGCTCAGTCAAATTCTTGTAAAATAAAACCAAGGAACAATATTATAAAACATAAAATCCTGGCACTTATTTGATAATTAAAAGCTGTATTGCAGATTATGAACTAGATAGTTATTTTAAAATATTATATGAAATTATACAAATGTTGAATCATTATATAGAGAGAGCCATAGTCCCTTTATTATGCTCAAAATTTAGTTTTAATGGTATTATAAGCCAAGAGAAAAACTAGCAGAAGAAATGGAACAATATCATTGCTACACAACAATGTAGAAATTGTGTTGGTTACATTTCACTTTAGGATAATAGCAGGTTTTATTTCAACTTGTCTTATAATTTACTAGGTGGTAATGCTATTAAGGTCAAACATGCTTAATGAGACTTAAGGGTTTGTTTTGTAGAATTATTGTTTTTGACTAAGTACCACACTGTCACTTATTGCTTGGATTTTGATCAGTTTTGGTTTCCTGTAATTTTTTCTGTCTGTTGCAAGATGTTTCTTTGATGATAGGTGAGACCCATTCTTATTTGTGGGTTTAAGGATATATATTTAGAATGTAATTAGAAATTATATAGTTTCAGTAAAGTGGCAATTGCAGCATCTTATCCAAGACCTATGACCTCACTAGACTAACATAGTTGTATAGGTTTCCAAAACCAGTCATGATTTCCCTCTTGTTGAACAGGGCCTAAGTGTAAGTAAAAAGTCATTGGTTACCAACAAGTATGTGTGCCACTATTGTACCCAGCGGAATATTGTACCATGCTTCTTGTCATTGTAGTTCATAGGCATCAGAACTGGGTAGAACTATTGGTTACTAATTACAGCATAATACCTCTATCTATGCCTCAGAGATCTTAATTTAAACTCAGGAATTATAGTAGAAGAAGGGTCAGAAAGATTGTAAGGGCCAAAGGACTAGGAAGCTTTCTGTGGACTTGCAACTCCTAGAAATGTTAAAGAAGCTATAGGAATGGAGTCTCATCAATATTGCTGCTTAAGCAAAACTTGAACAAGAATAAAATCAACAGACTTGCAACCATGAATGTGGGAAAGACCATGAGTATGGTGATACATTATTTATGATTTATTAAGCTTGCCTGAGGATATAGAAATCAAAGCTAACCACATATCATAGAGACAGGCAATGATGATACACACCTTTAATTCCAATGATGATACACACCTTTAATTCCAACATCATACTAGAAAGCCATAGATCCAGGCAGTGGTGGAACACACCTTTAATCTCAGGACTCAGGAGCTAGTTGTGGACTGATCTTTAGTTCAAGGTCAGTCACACTGCGCTTCATAAAAATGATCCAGCCCTAAAGAGAAACAGCTCACACAAGGTAGTTCTCAGCACTTTGGACCACATTCTTTTAATCACAGCTCTAGAGAGAGATAAAAGTAAGAACCAAAGAATCTCATAAGAGATTTAGTCTCCAGCCATGTTGAAAAGAGGCAGCAGTCTAGGATTGCAGTCAGGATTTGTGGGGCTAACCAGATCACCCTTACAATCAGAGGCAAAGGTAAGAACTACTGGGTGGCTGTTTGCTTTTTCTGATCTTGAGCTTGAAGCTTCTACTCCAATATCAGTTTCTGGGTCTTTATTAGTCGAGATACATAATTTTACTTTTCATGTTACTCATGGAGCCTCAACCCTACACAAAGAACTACAGGCAACTAACTAGTGCTGAGAGCAGAGAAGTAGTATTCCCCAGGGGAAAATTCACCAATTGGTTATCCAACACCAATCTTTTTTAAATGTGTGCTTTGTATTTTTCTGCTGCTCCTTGTTATGTGTTATTTTCTTTAACTGTAATTTTACTGGTTATACACACTGTATAGTAATTAATTGCAAACCTTGATCATAGTGAATTAACTGAGAAGGTTGTATTTATAATTTTAAGGATGTATATGAGTGCCATACTGCTCATAATTTCCCATGCTCCACAAAGTAACCTTCTAGAATGAATCTACAAATATTAGAGTCATTGGGTTACACACACAAATACACATGCTCACACACACAAAGAGACAGACATGAAAGGAGGAAGAAAACTAGTCATGAAGAAGAAAAGCATGGGGTGTTATGGGAGGGGTTAAAAGAAGATAATGGGGTTGAATATGAATACATTACATTGTACACGTCTGAAATTATCAAATATATAAAATCAGCTATGGGTATATTTATTCTCACTTTGCATTAATGTACTAAAATCATCTGTATAATAATTAGTTGTGGTATGTGTCAATAAACTATACTTCTAGAAATTATTTTATTTTTATTTTATACTGTTAAGCTGCTTTGAGGATTTCTAGCTACTCATGGTTGTGTGTTTCAAGGGATTTTTATTGAAAATTTATTAGTTGGACACACAATGTATACTAATCAAAATTATTACTCACTTACTTACTTGAATATTATGTTTTCTTCTAGGAAGATGTAAACAGTGAATATATACAAAAAGTAAAAGAAAAAGAATGGAAATATTTCAAGGTATGAAACTACACATGGGGGAGGAACTAGGCCCTGCTCAGGATTATATAACATACTCTGAAAATCCCTCATGGAAAGCCTTACTCTCCCCAGGGAGCAGAAGGAAGATGGAGTGGGATGGGGGTTGGAAGGAATGGGGGCCAGGGGAGGAGGGGAGGGAAAGGGAACTGAGAGTAACATGTATAAAAAGTTAATAAAAAATAAATATGAAAAAGAAATTATATGTACCAATAAAATGTGTAGTATACCTAATCATCCTTTCTTGAAAGTCTAATTTCAGCAATTTCAAGAAATGAGTACATCAACTAAGATAATCTCATTATAATAAATGTATGCAGAACAGTTTCTAAAGACAATAGATTTAGTTCTTTATGCTTAAGGAAAAATTGCTAAAACTATTTAACAGGGGCAAATGGTCTTTCATATATGCCATGTGCTAACCGATTTAGACATCTTATCTCTTTCCTCTCTTTTAAGTGTATTAGCTGACTGTGCATTTTATAGGAAACAGTAAGATCCAGAGAAATTAAAGAACCAGAAACATCATGCTATTCACTTGAAATTTTGTATCGTACTCTTCCTTAATTTACAGGTCACTCTAATGTAGGACTAATAAAGATAAAACCATTTTCATTTTAAATATAAATGTCACATGAAGCACAGTAATGTTTGCATTGCTATAGTATCAATGTGAATTTTTAATCACTTGGAAAACTGCCAGAATCATTATCATTTATAACCTTTATCTTCATTGCTATCTTCACCATCATTTACTTCATAATTCTACAGAATAGAAAAAAAATTTAATGTCTCATTTGCATGTATCCTTAATTGTTTGTTTGTGTGTGTGTGTGTGTGTGTGTGTGTGTGTGTGTGTGTGTGTGTGTGTGTGGCGCTAAAAACATATTCTCACTGGCTTCTTGGTTAATTTGAAGAAATGTTTTTAAAAATTGCTTCAGCCTCAGCTGTGTGTCTGGAACTTCCAGATAAGTAACAGAATGGCTATTGTAGACCAGTATATATTTTGTTCCTTTATGTCTTAGATATGTAGCCACTGACCCACTGTTTAAGGAATTTGTCAGAAATATTTTCCAAATAATTGTATCTGTTATGAGAAAATAGTGAAATGAAGAGTTGGACAAGTGCCTATGTGAAAATCCCACCTATTAGGCCATCTGCAATGCTTCAGTCTTTGGCAGAACTGCACTCCCTCTTGCCTCTAAGACTCCAATTATGCATCATTTTAAGATAATTCTTATGAAATTGCTTATAGTCTTATCAATCAATGAGCTCTAGTTTAATCCCCAGATGGAATCTGTATTTTTCAAAGACATACTACTTTATTAAAATATGAAGGCTTAGTCTCCTGTTAAGAAACACATTTCCTTTTATGTTATAGTTATTTTTAAATTAAGACTTTACTCCCATGTGTTAAGTAAAATAAATGAAACCAACACTTTAATGCTTTTCCATTTTACTGAAAAGTCCAAAACTCATTGATTTAATTACACAGTTTTCTGATCACTTCATTTCTCCCAACCTCCCATCCTCTATCTTATTTACCTTTGAAACCTGATGTTTCAGCACTAAGGAAGGTTTGTTTTGTCACTTAAGAGAACTTTACTGAACTGTTTTGGAAAGTGTGTGTACATGTGCATAGATTTTCTAACCTTGCAACCTTAAACATGTCCACTTCTCTACAGAGAGATTTACCTCTTTGATTCATACTAACAGAAGCAAAATATTTAATTAGAAACAACATGAAGTTATACTAATGTGCATAATAGCGGTTAATGATTAAGAAACCACCCACCTATCTCAAAAAATGTTTAGAGTACTGGTCAATTTTTTGTGCATAGCTACCACCACACCAAATTTCAAGTTACCAACAGTGTCTTTTGGGGAATGGTACACAATAATGTATAGTCTTGGCATTGTGGACTCCATTATAACTGCTTTTCCATATCTTGTAACATTACTAACTTTAAGTTGTCTACATGATAGAGTAACTGATATGAGCATGGAATGTTACCCCAACAGGACTGGGAAGGAGGGCAAGTGCTTGCTGAGAAGTAGAGTAATTACCTAAGATTATTGAAGAATAGAAAAGAAAACAAGTTTGAAATGGAGAGGGAGACAGATCTTAATATCAAACATTCCTTGCACATTCGTATAGAATTCCTATATAGTCTCACTGGTTCTTCAGGTAAATTTCACAGGAATAATGATTGATTATTTTTTTTTTTGGTTTTTCGAGACAGGGTTTCTCTGTATTGTTTTGGAGGCTGTCCTGGGACTTGCTCTGTAGACCAGGCCGGCCTCGAAATCACAGAGACCTGCCTGCCTCTGCCTCCTGAGTGCTGGGATTAAAGGTGTGTGCCACCAACACCGGGCTAATAATGATTGATTTATGCTACATATGTACTCTCTCTGCTGATCTATTTCTCCATCCCTTACCCTCAAAACTCAATTTTGTCTCTGTCTTGTGTTTTCCATTGATTTATTGAATATCTCAATATTTCTTTGAATCATATCAGCTTATTATATTAAAATGTTCCCTAATATGTCCTGTTAACAATTCTGTTTTGATGAACATGGATTTATATGTAGGCACTCATATAATTTATGAATAAGTGATGAATTATTATTCACTAACATTTTATTGACACATGCCTTCCTTTCTTCTTGTAAGTATGCCTGCAGGTGCTTGTGAATATTCACTATGTGAAATAGAATAGCAGTGGCCATATAGGGAAATTTGATGTGAGCATGAGTAACAGAATTAGAAAGGGTACTTTGAAATACAGCTTCCTAATGTTTTCATATAATTTTAGCTTTATAACCTTAAATACCAGAATGCTTTCGATAGTTCATCCCATAAGAGGAATTTTTTTAAATCTAATCATGTATAATGAATAATGAAAGTAAGAAGAATCAAATTAGAGTTGTGAAAATGAAATATGCATTTAGCATTAAAAGCAGTGAAATAAAAGCACTAAGAGTGGAATTTGTTTTCCAAATGTGTTATATAACATTTTTACATTCATTTTCAAATAATTTTATACATTTTGATATAAATAGGCAATAGATTACATCAGCAAGAGGCTAAATCTCAACTCAGCTACATTCACGAGCTATGATCTTCTTATGAATTAAGTGATTTTATTAATCAGAGAAAGGGGTCTGGTGGTCAAAGAGTGGCAGCTTCATTTTTGCATATTAAATAATTAATGGTATCTCCTACAGCTTGTTAGGTTTATTTTAATTAATTTTTATACTTAATAAGGATCTCAAATTAATCTAAGGCTATTTATATTCTTATTACATTCAAGAAAAGATAGACTGACCTCAATGTATTCCATGTCTCCAATTTTCACTACAAAGGCACAAATAAACACCGTAAAACACACCACAGGAAGCAAAACAAAGCAAAAATTCTCACTCATTGCTATTGTAAGTTATTACATCTCTGTGAGTTCTGAGACGAAAACAGATAATTGTACAGAAACCATAAGTAAATCTTAAATACTGAAATGGCCTAATTGCACTTATATTTTTGATTACTGTTTTATGTGTATTGATATTTATAACAGTTCTTTGGCTCTCATAACTTTCCTCTACTATATGCCTTTAGGGATTAGGAAAATGAAATTAAATATCTTTTAGCTGTCTTTTCTTGAGGCTATATTTCACTAGCTCCTTCTGTTTCACCATGAATCCTACTCCCCTTCATTTTAATTATGTTGTTGCTCTCTTCTGGCCTCTTAGTAATTAACATGAGGCGACTAAATTAAATTTAAGTTGTTATGCCTAAGCCTGTATGTCCCACAGTATTGTATTAATTGACCTCATACCTCAGGCTGTCTCCTTAAGTGAAATAGAATATGTTATTAAGAAGGCAATGTGGCATTCAGACAGATTGGCAGCCAAGAGATTAGAATGAAAAAGATGAGAGTAACAGCAATTCCATTTTGACATGTTATTCTCATTAATTGGTACAGTTACCCACATCCTACCACACTGATAGTATATGTTATCAATCACATTTTTTGTTAGTTAGTTCTGACTTCAGAAAAGTCAGAGACAGCAAAATGTTGCATCTGAATTCACTGTCTGCTTCCCAAGTGTGAATAAATTTTTGAATGATTTGGGTAAGATTTTCATCCTGTAGGCAAGACTGCTAGAGTTATTATAAATTTCATTTGTAATGCTCATATTGCTAGAAGAATTTTAAGAATCATGACTACAGATAGGAATTTTTTCTCTAGTGAATGCTTTCTTTAGTGATCAAATTGTTTTCAGACATAGTGTTGTAGACATTACTTTTATTAGAGTAAATATTGTTAATAATAAAAAATTTACTCAGACATTTCTCAGTATACCAGCTATGAATTTAGTAATATTTACTTATTCTTCCCCAAAATTATTATAAAATGAAACATTTTTTTTTGTTTTTTAAGCAGTATATAATGTTATGGGAGATACAGGCACCATGAACAAGCAAAGCCTAATGCAGTGCAGAATGTACTCTTCTGTTAGTTATATCAGCAGGCATGCCCAACATTGTAACATTGTGACATAACATTGTTATTACAGAATTCACATTCAGGAACCACACAATCAAGTTACCAAAAAAATTGCAAAAATACCTCAATGTTTTCTGTAAGTTGACAGTTTTGTGTTGGGCAGCATTCATAAATTATTAATACAACAAATCCTCTGACTTTTCATATGCATGGAAAGTTTTCTTGGAAGTTTTTCTTTTAAACTTGCCCTTAAGGTTTTCTGCTCAGTTGCTTGGTTGGATTTTGCTTTTATGAGAAATGCTTCCTTGTAGCATGGACAGTCTTCAAAGTTTCTATTTAGCTGAAAATGGCCTTGAGTTCTTTATTCTCCTGTCTCTATGTCTGAGTGCTGGAATTATGGGTGTGCAGTACCATACCTGACTATCCAGGTTGTGTACAAGCACTGTCTCAATTTTAAAATTATTTTCTTTCTGT